ATTAAATATATTAATAAAAGAATTTACGACAAAAAAAAAGTTCCAATCCTCCGTGCACGGAGGTTTACTACATGTTCATTTTTTTTAACTTATGTTTTTGTGTTCATTTTCAGTCTCCTTACGGGATATCAAACGAAGTCGAAATATTACATTCTTAATATATATTGAAGTACTCATAACATAATATTGCATGCCGTTAACGGTGCGTGAAACTTCTAATCGTATCAAATGTTACGGGACGTTAAAATAGGCATTTTAAAAATATATTTCGAAATTTTCGATAACAAGCTAACTCTACAAATTCATCGACTATCGATAAATATTTTACATTCTCTCGAAACTCATTTCGAGAAATATATCATAGATATAAATTAATATAGAAAATAGTTAAACGGACATTAAACGTATGTGTTAAAAAAAATGTGTATAAATCATTTTTTTCTTCAAAACAATCAATTATTTTATTACTATTTATTATTGCTTCGCAACAATTTTCTCAATACATCATTTTACTCAAGCAAAATTATGTGGTATGACATAATTTTTTTTCTCCATACACTAAGTGTATATGTTTTTTTTTTTTTTACATTTTATTTACAATAATTTTGTTTTATTAATATAATTTTCAAAATTTAAATATATAAGATATGGTTGATAGTTAATAACGTGAGAATTAGGAGAAAGAGTATGGTGTGTTAAAATTAATATAATTTTCAAAATTTAAATATATAAGATATGGTTGATAGTTAATAGCGTGAGAATTAAGAGAAAGAACTTGGTGTGTCAGATTCAAAGTAATGGAGAAATATTACAGTGGAGTGACAAAAGTCCTACAATATTTTTGAATAGCATTTTTCATATTGTCAAACCAATTTCCTAACTAATTGAGTGTGAAAACGAGTGTGATAAAAATGAACAGTAAATTCTCTTTCTCTCTTTTATGGTAGTGTAGAATATGAACGTCAGTGAAAAATTTACACCTCGTAACATTATTCTTGTAGTAATAGCAGAATTCTTAAAATAATATGAACGTCAGTGGAAAATTTTAAAATTTCGTAATAAAATCATGGACACTAGTTTCTTTTATTTTATTATTATTATAATTTTTTTTTTCACGAATATTGTATATCAATTCATACTCTGGGACAATGTAGTTTGGTGAAAGATGAAATGATTAAATTGGTGTTTCAGTAAATAAGAGAAGATCCAAGGTTATAGTTGTAAAGGCATGAGGAACCTACTAGAAAAGTGCCTGAATTCTAATCAGATCAACTGTGCCACATTCACTCATATTTTTCACGCAGACACACGAAGCTGTCGTTCTAATAGACAGTCGTCAATAGTGACACATCATTGTTGGCGGATAATTATGAGGAAAGACGGAATGCCGGCCTCCGTCTCCGGCCACTCAGTCGGAAAAATGTTTCTCTGCTTTGAGACCAAGCCAGCGGTGGGCACATTACTGGCTTTTACTCTTGTAATGATCATTTGGAACCTTCAGCCGTACTACGAAGACCTTATCTCCACCACTAATCGGTGCTCAGCCACCACCTCCGGCGCCAATGAGTCTTTGACAATAAGGCCCGGAAGTGCCGATGTCCGTGGCGGTGTGGGTGTGGTGACGCTGGCGGAGCAGAAACTCGTGAATCCCAGTCCGCCAGCTGACCCAAACAAGCGTACTTTTCAAGCTTTCGGCAACGCCGCCGCGCTTTTTGTACAAATGGGTGCCTACCGCGGCGGCCCCCGGACCTTTGCGGTTGTCGGTTTGGCTTCGAAACCTATTCACGTTTTTGGCAAACCGTGGTACAAATGTGAGTGGATACCCAACAACGGGAACTCTTCGGTTAAGGCTAAGGCCTACAAAATGCTCCCCGACTGGGGCTACGGCCGTGTATACACCGTAGTGGTGGTGAATTGCACATTTTCTTCGAACCCCAACGCGGATAATAGTGGTGGCAAGCTGGTGCTCTACGCCTACTACGGCGAATCATCTCGAAAATACGAGAAATTCACCGCCATGGAAGAGGCACCGGGGTCGTACGACGAGTCCCAGTACAGCCCACCGTATAAATACGAGTATTTATACTGCGGATCTTCTTTGTACGGGAACTTGAATGCTGCTAGAGTAAGGGAATGGATGGCCTATCACGCCTGGTTCTTTGGGCCCAGCTCGCATTTCGTGTTCCACGACGCCGGAGGAGTGTCGGCCGAGGTGAGGGCGGCGCTGGAGCCGTGGATAAGAGCTGGTCGGGTGACTCTACAGGACATTAGAGCTCAAGCCGAGTACGATGGGTACTATTACAACCAGTTCTTGATAGTGAATGACTGCCTCCACCGCCATCGTTTTTCTGCAAATTGGACTTTCTTTTTCGACGTTGATGAATACATTTATCTTCCTAATGGGAACACTCTGGAATCAGTGCTTAAAGAATTCTCAAATGTTACACAATTCACCATTGAGCAAAATGCCATGTCCAGTGTACTGTGCTTGAATGATTCCACTCAGAACTATTCCAGGTTTGCAACATTTTGCCCTCTAATTCTTTGGTGCATTACCCATTCTTGATTCAATTCCCGTTACCCATTCATGTTTTTCCATACAGTTTTGTTATTACAACGGTGATTTGATTCTTTTATTAGAAATCACAGAACTGATGTCCTGCTCAGAGATGGACATGAGATATCTTGCCCACCGATAAAGGTGGTAAGAGGTGGGCAAGATATGGTTGGGTATTTTAGACCCCACTGATAGGGGACAGGAGATTGGTTCAATTAGAATTCATGTATATTTGTCAAGTGTCCTTTTGAACATTCTAAAAAGATTATATAGGACATGAGTAGAGTTGTTCGGTATAGCAAAAATTTTGTTCTTAAATGTGTGTGATTTTGTAGTGATCAATAAAGGAAAAAATGTACTTGTTCTGTTATTTTAACAGGCAATGGGGTTTCGAGAAGCTGCTATTCCGCGACTCGAGGACGAGGATTAGACGAGATCGCAAGTACGCAATACAAGCAAGGAATGCCTATGCGACCGGTGTTCACATGTCCGAGAACGTAATAGGTGGTACATTGCACAAGACGGAAAAGAAAATCCGGTATTACCACTACCATAACTCTATCACCGTGCACGAAGAGCTCTGCATCAAGTTGATGCCTCCATTTGCCAAGATGGCCACGACGTGGATCAACAAACTCCCCTACGTCTACGATGACAACATGAAAAAACTGGCCCCTGCAATCAAGGCTTTCGAGCAAAACACCATTGGATCCCAACACCAACTGCATTCATAATAAAAGTCCAATTAATTACACCCCATTTTCGTGTATAATGATAAAAGAAGAATTTTTCATCTTTTTCTTTACGCTTTATCAAACGGACCACCCTCACCGACACCGTTTATGATTCCCCAGGCTCAAAAGCCAATGGCTGGCACTCATTGTGTCTTTTCATGGCCTATGTGGGACATGCCTAGTTGTTGAGAGAGGCACTGCTGTCATCCTAGAAAGAAGGGCCCCCCTACCCCCACCCTATTTGTCTGTAAACGGCACGAGTAGTCCCAATTCTCTTTGATTCATTGATTCGTATTGATGTTAAGTGTACACAGATTTCTCGTAGATAATGACAGTTAATTCTTACCTAATCCTGATTGATAATTTATTTATGAATCATTTTATCTATCATTGTTAGAGTACTAGCTTAGATTATGACATTTTGATAAGTTCAATTAAATGAATTATATGACATTATATTTAGTAAATTTATCATTTAATATTATGCAATTATAATCTAGAGAGGTAGAACTTTTGGGAAAAAATTGTAACAGAGGTCCCTAACATTTCATTTTTGTAGACTTTACTCTAATATTCATCTTGTACCGCGAAAGTTCGAAACCTTTCATAACTATGCACCTGATGTCTATTTTGATGGAAATCTTTCAAAATATCGTCAGTTGATTGGAAAAATTAGGATAATTAGCAAAAAAATCCTTATTGTTTGTACTTATTGTGAAAATAGTTCCTATATTTTGAACTTGTCATTTACACTCTCATTTTAAACATTTCTTGTAGAATTGGTCCTTTTCTGTCATGTTATGTTTAATCTTTTCGTTAAATATGTTTAATTTGAAGCAAAACGTCCATACCTTTACACCTACGCCTATCCTATCCTCCACCACCACCAAAATAATTAAAAAGAGAATTAAAAGTACAAAAAATTTTGATGAGGAATAAGCATCATTTTGTTTTTAATAATTTTTTTGTTTTTCTATTTTGAATTCTTTTCTTTTCTTTTTTTTACTTTTATTATATTTATTTATCTCTTTTATTTATTTTGTGGTGGTGGTGAAGTGTAGGAGATGGGCGTAGGGGTAGGTGAGTTAATTGGGAAGATAAAATATTTTTTCTTTTGCAATTTTTTATATTATTTCCTTTTTCTATTTATTTATATAAAGATGTTGATAAATTAGTTATTTTACAATATTATAATAAAGAATATAGGTGATAAGGATATGTTAAGCAAAGCAAAGTTGATCTAAGTGTCCAAATATCAAAATTGAAACAATAGGTACTATTTGTGCAATGAAAATAAACGATAGGAATATTTTGCACCAAATTACACATATTTATGAAATGTTAGGGATCTTCACTGATGTAAAATAAAGATTAGGATAAAGTTTACAAAAAATAAAAAGATTGAGGACCGTTGCTGCAATTTTCCCTATTCTTTATTTATAATAAAAATAATGGCACTTGCTTTAATGATTGATGACAGTAACAATTATTCCAGAAGATAGAAAGTGGTGTCGGAGGATGGAGGCACATGCATGTCCATTTCACTTCTGTTCATTTTACCAAACTGGAAAATGAAAAGGACCGTAGGAATAATTATGGTAATTATGGGAAGACCCGTTGCAGGCAAGAGTCAAAGGATAAACGTTAGGATGATGTTACCGTTATTTGGCACAGATCAAGGCGAAAGTTAAGGTTTAAAAGAGATAAAATTATTTTATTAATATAACAAATAATAAGTACATTGGTAATTGGGTTAAAATATGATTGTGGTTCTATTTTGGTAATCGAGTACCACTTTTTCCACAAAGGGATCACTTCTTTTAGCCATAAAAAGTCTAATTAACGGCCCACATGACTTTAAATATTCGTACATCGATCGTCGAGGCACAATTGAAGCGAAAGATATCTCGATCACTGAAGTACCATTTATTAAAGATATATACAGCTGGTTGTATATATCGTCGAGGCACAATTGGTTGTAGCATTTTGAATAATTTATCCTTGTATTGAGCATTTGCTAACCAGCAAACTATTTTGTTTCCTTCTCCCCATATGTGAGAAAATGTCATCTCCATTGTCTTCGCACTCGGGTAGTTAGATTCAAGGTCATATTGTACTTCTCACACACATTTGATGATGTATTGTGTTAAGAGATATAATCCCACACTGAATAAAAATGAAAACAAATGACAATTAATAAGGTTTTGGACTACTCCTCTTAATAAGGTTGGCATTTTAAAATGAAACCACAAATCTTAATATGGTATCAGAACTCATTAAATTCTAACGAGCAATTCGATTCAATTAAGACTCAAAAATGAATAAGCCACTATTTCGTAAGGGGCATGTTAAGATGAAAACATAAATCAACTTATAAAGATTTGGCTACTCCTCCTAATAAGGTTAACTTTTTAATCCTGTCCACAGTGGGCAGGAGGTATGTTACTTACCCGCTGATGTGGCAATATGCAATGCTGCCACATCAGCAGTTGGCTTTTAAATTTATTTTTCAAGAACATATCTGTGGATAGGAGATCAAATCTGTAGAATAGCAAATTCAAACCTCTCGAAATACTTTCAACAAAGTATGATGACTAAAGAAGGGGATATTGGGTCGCCTTGTCAGAGCCAGGGACGGAGCTAGCACCTAGTGAGTCGGCGCGGCTGCCCGTGCTAGCTCCACTGGAAAAGAAGTTTTTAAAACAAGTTTTTATTAAATATTAAAACTGTGCCTAGCTACTATAAATTTAGTTGTAGCTCATATGGTTGGGTGTCAATTTTGCATCTGCGAGGCACTGGTTTGATTCACCTCTCTCCCACTTCTTCTTTTAATTCTTGTAACACAATATAAATAACAATTAAATAACTCTATATTATTTTGTTTACATTAATATATGCATAGTGCTGTATCTCAAATGTGAAGTCCTTTTCTCACATCAGTCACATGTAAGAGATATGGGATTCCCTTCACCTCCTCTTCGGCTTCTTAATTTTTTTAACACAATAAATAATAACTAAATAATTCTATATAATTAGTTTTTGTTTCTAAAATAAGTTCTTTAAAAAAGTTTGTTGACTCAAATTATTATTTCATAATATATATTTTTACTGTTCGATTTTATCAATTTTATTTGTAAAATTCAAATTTGAACAATCTAAGTACCGATCTTTATTCTCTTAAGAATTTAAAAAATATTTTTCTTTTTTGGGTAAAAATAGCTTTAAAAATCACCGTTTTAAAAATTTATTGACTCAAATTATTACTTCATAACATAGACTTTAATGGTTAAGTTTCATCAATTTATTTTGTAAAATTCTTTAATCTCTTAAGAGTTTGAAAAATACTTTTCTTTTTGGGGTCAAAAATAACTCTAAAATTCATTGCTTTAAATTTTTTGTTTTTATCGTTTAGTCAATACTTTACATATAAACTTCATCTTGTCTTGCTTAAGTTCATAAAAATTTGAAACTTGATAATATATACATAATTCAAAAACTGTATTTTCAATCCTTATTATGTTGGGTTGTATTGAATTACATTTTCATATGTATATGATTTTTACTATTTAATGCATTTATATATTGATTGGAAATTCTTTTAATATAAATTTATTAAATATTAGTGAACAATATCGCTCCATATTGAGCGATTGTTTGATAAATGTTTGACGCTCCGCCCTAGCTCATTCGAGCGGCTAGATCCGTCCCTAGGACTCAGAGCCCACTACAAGACTTAGAGAAACAGATAACTCACTTTTATCATGATAGAGAAGCTACAATTACTGATTGCGTCTTTTAGGTTTATCTACCCAATCCATGTTAAATCCAAACATGATCAACATTTCATAGAAGAAAAGCCAATCCACCATGTGTCATACGCATTGTCCATGTCAAGTTTTAGAAAGACATCAACCCCTCTAACATCCCTGAAAAACCATTTCTTGAGCTAATAATTCTTTATCCCCAACTGATCTTACAAGAGTAAAACCGCTCTGAAGGAGAAATGATTTTAAGCAGCATTTTTTTATGGGAATCATATAGAAGACTTTTCATATTGGACACATAAATAGGGTTAGATTCTCTAGTATTTTGTTAAAAAAATGTTTCTTTACTTATCCATGTTTGGTCTTTATAATAAGATTTTTACTAAATTTTGATAAAAGTTGATGAAATATATGGTTAAAAAATTGTGTATCCCATAAAATGCGTAGTTAAAATTAGTTGTTTACTTAGACTCAGATTAAAATCTGAATTCTAATATTTACCAAACATGGGCTTAATTTTATAAATTCTCTAATATTTTGTTATTTGGTTAGATGTTTCTTATCTATATTAGAACATCTCCAAGATACCTTCTAAATCCAAACTACTCTCTATTTTAGAGAATAAATAAATAAGTTCTAAGAGACTCTACATTTTAACTTTTTATAATAAAAGAATGGGTTTGACGATTTGATTCTCTAAATCCAAATAATCAAACTCACTCTTTATTTTTAATTAACAATTGATTATATTTAATAAGTTACAATTTTTATTACTCTACAATTTCAATTATTCAAATCACATTTGAATTAATTGTCTATTAACATATAAAAAATTATGTTAATAAGAGATGAGAAGAAATTAATAAATGTTCATTGGAAAACGCAAAATAAAGAGTTGAAATAGAAACTATTATTGAAATGCATAAAAAAAACTACTTTTAAATAAGATGCTTACTTCGTAAATAGAGAATCTCTTAAAAATACTCTTAAATTAATTTAAATTATATATAAATGAGGCCTTTGCGTTGTAATAGAGACAACTTTGATATGAAATAAACTTTATATTCTCTCCCCTTCATCTCTTTCGCCTCTGTTCCTCCTTTTTTAAATATTTTTCTTGGTCAAATTCAAGAGTTTATTTTAACTACTACCAAGTCACTGGCCACCGCTTCTACGACCCTACACATCCAAAATTTCAATAATAGACCAAATTCAAATACCAGAAATGTAAATGAGGAAGAAACAATCAACAAGAAAACAAACTGCAAAAAAGGTGTTCACCGTTACTGTGCATAGGTAATATTCATCAGTAAAAAAATATTATTTTTCTTTATTGTCATCGGGACTGTCCACAGCTTAAGCAAATTTTAATTAAGATTAGTTCTTTCATTAAAAAATAAAAAATAAAAATAAAAAACCGAGTGAAAAAATGTCGAAAAAGGACAAGAAAGAGAGAATGAACGAATAATCGATTACTTTTTGTAGGACACATGGTTTGTTTTGTTCCTATTAATTGAATCAGTCGATAAGGAGAAATCAATTGAATCAGCATAAAGATGATAACTTGTACACATTTGGGCTCTTTTAAGTCTCACGAGGTACTAATTTCATTTATGTTGAGAATGTGTTTTATTTCGTTGTTCCGATTTGTTAGTTTTAAAAAAGAAAACAAAGAATGTCATACAAACCACGAATTTATATAATAACTCTAATAGCTACACCAAGCCCTTAGTCATTACCACTATAGTATATCTTTCCTTAATCAATACAATCATTCTAATCTAAGGACTATGTTGAAGAATTCATTATCCATCTAGGCGATTTAACTTGGAACTGTTGGACTTTGCTGTCTAGATGGTCCCAATCATTTCTTAATTTACTCTATAATCTTGAAAATTTCTTTGACTTTCATAATTTTAGTGACTCCCATAGTATTTGTCATACTAATATGTCATTTGTTGATTCTGTTAGATGTTATTCGAAGTTATTTTTACGTAACATTGATCTCCTAGGTCAACGTCCTATCACTATGTGTGGTAAAATGAAACAATTATTAAGTAATAAATATGTCATGTGTATTGTCGAGTTTATTTGTTAGATCAATTTTTTACAATGTAGACAATGTATGTCCACTGTTAGGGAATATCTATTGACACATTCTTCCTAAAGGTCTGGTAGCTATTCTGATCTCAACAATCATTGTCAGCTATCTTTTTGGCAAATAATGTCTGAGCACTTCATTCCCTCTCGATGTTTGTCTCTTATTCAACTTCACATGTTTGGAGATCCTTAACCGTGAGGTTGTTGTTATGGCTTCATTCTTAAAACATACTTGTGCTACTTCTCCTCATTCAATGTTGAAGCTTGTGTGCTTCGAGAGACGTTACTTTTCGTAAAGAACCTTCCTTCCAATTAAGTGAAGTGGATGGTGATGCTTTGGTTGTGGTACAATAGTTTATATACGGTGAGAATTTGTCTTCAAATGCTCTAGTTTGCTTAGATGCGAACATTTTCTTCAAGATATTGGATATAGTTCGTATCGCTTTATTCTTAAGAATAAAGTGGCCCAAAATCTAGTTAGTTAACTACTACTTTCTCAACTATCCGTAGTTAGATTGCTCATATCCTTCGATTTTGGCACCATTCATGTGTGATTTTTAATCAATAGGTTCGTTTCGACTTCTAAAAAAATAGCCAACTAATCAACGGTGAACTTTGAGAGACCACAATAACCACGAGTGGGGAAGAGTGTATGATAAAATTTGTAGGAGATTTAATTAAACAAACAATAAAGACAAAATCCAAAAACTCTCTTTATTTTTATGCCCATTCATATATCCTTAGAGAAGATATAGTGACGGTGTAATTAAAGCCCCTTTGGCACGTTTCCTTCTCCATACATTAATTTTACGATCATATTATTTATTAATTTATAAAGTTTAATAATTTAAATATTAAAATTAATATGTGTATATATTGTGACCGCCTTATAAATCTTCTCCCCGTCATTTTCCTTCTAGTCTTTACCCTTTCACCGTTTAGACCCCGCCTTCTCCCATTCACTTGCAGATAACACACACACAACACACACATTATTCCACCTTCTTCTTCTTCTTTTGCAAGAAATAAACTTCCATCTCGATCAGGTTTTTGAGGTGGGTTTCATTTGATTAGTTCTTGATTATCTTGCATATTGACAAACCCCTCTATGTCTGTGTGTTTTCCCCTTTTTATGGGCTTATTTGCTTTGTTCATACCAGACAAGATTACTAATGTGGTTTGGGTTTCAACTGAACTAGATTCTCCTCAGTTTTTGGGATTTGACTTTGGTACTTGAAGAGAATTCAGGGTATTTTTCAGTGTGTTTTTGATGAACAGGGTTTTAATCCATATTGATTTTTCAATTCATTTTTGGAATTATTTGATTTGAATATGTGTATTAGAGATTGTTTTTCATTCTTTTTGTTGGCAAAAACATTAGCAGACGAACTGTTTGATGATTCGCAGGTGAGTAAAATAACAAGAATGGGAAATGAAATGGGTCCTCCATGGTTGAAGCCAATGCTGAAAACTGATTATTTCTTTCCCTGTCCGTTTCATTCGGATTCAAATAAAAGTGAATGCAATATGTATTGCTTGGATTGCATGGGAAATGCATTTTGTTCTTACTGTTTGATCCATCACCAGGGCCATCGCCTTGTTCAGGTGACATTTTGCATCACTTATATTCGAAAATCGCATATTCTTGAACTTGTTTATAATAGAATTGCTTTGTTAATTGCATTATGAATCATGAAATTGTAGATAAGGAGATCTTCATATCATAATGTGGTAAGGATTAACGAAATTCAGAAGCACATAGACATTTCTTGCATACAGCCCTACATTATAAATAGTGCGAAAATCGTGTTCTTGAATGAGAGACCGCAGCCAAAGCCCGGAAAGGGAGTTACATACACTTGTGAAATCTGTGCACGTAGCCTCCCGGACTCCTTCCGGTTCTGTTCCCTGGGTTGCAAGGTAAATTGTAATATTCAGAGTAGGGATGGATTCTTTTTCGTCACTCTGATAGTCTAATTGGTCTCGATTATGTGATATGACCAGTTGAATGGCATTAGAAGAGGCGACTCGGAGCTCACATTTTCACACAAGAGAGGAGCATTTGATGGGATGGATTCAGATGATGAGCCATCAACTCCAAAGAAAATTGCATTTTCATCGGGTTCGATTAGTTCGGGAGACGAGAATGTGAACGGTATGTCCCCTGATACACCTCCTTTGTTCAATCGTCATAGAAGAAAAGGCATTCCTCATCGTGCCCCTTTCTAATATCCCGAAATCATTATCTAAGTATAGATTTCAAAAATAATGGTTTAATTGATACTCTTTGTTACATAATATGTTAGTGTGAGTACATTTCCTAGATGAAAGATGTATAGGATGATAAATATATAGTTGGGGTTTTAGTTTCCACTTTTTTTGTGTACATATATACACACGCCTTGTACTGTGCTTCTACTCTGGTGAAAAGATAAAGCAAAGGTTTGTTAAAACCTTTAGCAGTTGTGAATAATCCTTTTATAATAATATTGTTTCGATATTCGTGCTATTGAATTTTTTCGTATGTATAATGCTGTTTGTTAGCATTGATAATAAACACCAATTTAAATGTCAACATTCAAATAAGTTCTTGTTTTTCTTGACATGAACGTTCACTTCCTGGAATCGGATACTGATTTGATCCGAGCTTTTGGAATTGCAATAAGTTCGACAGCGAATCTTTTTTTTTTTTTTTTTCTCTAGCATTTTAGCTTCTACGACTACTTCAGGAGCATACTTGACAGTAGATAGACATAGGCGGTAGAGAGGTCCCAACTTCGATTCCTGAGATATTTGCATTAGCAGCAAGAGTCTAGAGTCCAAGCTCCACATTTGATCGTTACTATTAAAAAAATATATATATATACGCTGTTGATCACCAATTATGGAGTGTGCTCTCCATTATACCTGGACGGTGATGAACAACATTATTCTTGAATCTTAGCAAATTGAAAAGGTGGGATATTTTCAGTCCAGAGTAACCATCGATAGTGGGACGAGAATTAAGCAATATACAACTCAACACGTAATAAAGAACTCTGAAAACTTCCAAATTGGTTCAAATGGCTATCATCTATGTTCCTTTCTTCTAGTAGGGACTTTGATTAAAACTGGGGTGGAAGATTTGTTGCATTACGATTAAGACATTGATTTTTAATAGCCATTTAATTAATTTATCTATATATGAAAATGGGTGGTCTAAAATGGTGGATATGCTTGGGGGACACGCAACACCCCCCCCCCCCCCCCCCCCCACAACACCCCCCCAAAAAACTATTTTAAGTCGACATTTCTCTTCCTCCACTATTTCCAGATGTTACAATTATCTTCCGTTCATTATTTATTATCCAGAAAAAAAATTAAAAAAAAAAAAAAAAGAATATGAGAGTGGGTGTCTATATTATTCTTATACAAGTGGACTAGAGAGCCGTGAGGAATCACGAAATGCTGCGTGACTTTGCTTTCTTTTATTTATTTATTTTTTTTTTTTATCACTTTTTCTTTTTTCTTCCCCATCTACGTAATGCACATTAACTATATAAAAATACATAATCTATCGTAATCAAATAAATTTTATAATTTTAGTCTACGTCAAGATTAAATTATCAACTATGAAAAAATTTACAATTGGAACGTCTGTTGACACTTGAATATTTTATTGTGATTTAGCCATTTGTTAGAGATTTGTGTGGAGAGTTCATTAGATAGTTAAAACATGTCTTTAACTTCGAGAAATGATCGAATTCAAGTCTAATCATGGATTTCAAAGTCGTCATTAATCTAAATTCTTCCTCTTGTACTTTTCTCAACCCGTCATTAAACACGACAATCACATATACATTTATTAATAATAGTCTAAGAAAATTAAAAGTATGTTGCTATTGAAATTTCTTGAATGGTCCCTTATATGCATTTTAAATTTACTTATGATAATAAAATAAAAAATGATTGACTATTCACCAATAGAATATGAGTACCTTATTCAAAAAACTCGTACAAAAAATTTTAATCTTACTGAGTCATCGATGATATTCTAGAAATTAGAATTCTTGTATTAATAGTATGATTGATTTCAATATTTAGCCTCTATTTTGGTGGAAATTAAAACTAGATTTTTAGTAAATTTTGATACAAGTCGATGAAATGTGTGGTTGAAAAATTGTGGGATTCATAAAATACATGGTTAAAATTAATTATTAAATTTGAGTTAAATTTAAATCTATATTTTAATTTGTACCAAACAGGGGTTAATAAATTCGAAGATTATACGACCAAAAAAAATAAAAAATTCACCAATTAAAAATTAACGTCTGGCTAGGGCAAACAAAGCATTGATTATTTCCACGTTGCCATTTCTGACCTTTGAAATATTTGTAGGACAAATGGTGATCCTATGAAACACCCAACGCACACATTTTTTGTGTTCTTTCAGGTTGATTTTGGATTAATTATTTTATAATTAGATTATAATTTGGGGTGTCTGTCTAAAGGGTTGCCACGCTAGTTTCAGACCCTCTTTTCAATTGACATTTTCTTATTTTCTAGTTTCCAATACTTAATCCACCTTTGTCTCGTGGGCCATGCATAATATATAAAAATAATAAAATAATACAATATTGGATTCAACTAAGGGTAATTGGCGCAAAACATCCTTACCTTTCGAGGTTATTGTGGAAAACGTCCCTACCCTTCATTTTTTGACATTTTTGCCCTTATTTACCACCTTTCTTGCGCTGAAGGTCATTTTCACTGTTTTTTGACGATTTTGCCCTCTATTCAAATAAAAGAGAAAGAATAGAATAGAAAACAAAAGAATTAATTGCAATTAATACCCCAAAATTTCAAAAAATTACAAATTAGTAATAAATATAGGAGTTAATAACCCAAATGGTTACTAAACTTTGCCAAAGGTCCAAAAAGGTCATTGAACTTTTTTAAATACAAAAAGAAAAAAAAACCAACAAAAAAAATTGAAGAAACAGGC